TACTATTTTTTGAAAATTTTATAAATTTGACATTTTTTCCTTTCTAAATATAATTTTGCAATGTAATTTTTGCATGACAGATTTTTGACCTATTTAACAATAATTTTTGTAACAATTATTGCATGAATGAATTTTTATAATTATTATATATTTTCACTTTTCACCGCCTACTTTTTTAATAATTTTTATATTTTTCAAAATAAAGGGTAAAAATAAAAGAAGATATTTAGAAAATAGAGAAGAGGGTTGGAAAGATGTTTCTCTAAGAATTTTTTAAGAGTACATCCTTTGAACCGGTTCAAAAGAAATTCTGAACATCTTGAAGCTTTAGGAAATTTTTAAATAAAAATTGGTGAAGAATAGGGCGAATGATAGTTTTTCTTTAAAAAAGTTCAATTTTTGCCATTAAACCGGTTTGATCATATTACCCTTAAACCCTTTGATCCATTGGGTGTCCATTGAATCTTTGGACTCTGACGACGGATTGGGTGTGTCTAAATACCGTTTAAATATGTGGGAGGGGCTAAATGGTTGGACCCCGCTGCCCCTGACGACTTGGAGGGGGGGTTAACTACTAACATAGCATTTATAAAAATAAAAAACTTGTAAACTCGTAAAAAATTTATTTTTCAAACTTTTGTGGGAAAAGGCAAATCCATTTCACAATTAATCGTATTTATTATTATTTAGTAAAATTTACTTTTTAGTGAAAAATTTTTATTAATACAAATATTAGCTAAACAAATATTAAATATAAAAAATTTATTTTCCTTTTTTATTTTTCCTAATAGAAAATAATTGTTTATTATAATTTGAAAAAATTATAATAACAAAAATTATAATAACAATTTTTTAATTTGAAAAAAACCTGAGAATTCGGAGGGTGGAAATTGAGATTCCGTCCTGGCCCTTTTGAAATTCTCTCTATTAATTTTTCCATTATTTTCAACTTCATTTTAAATTTAAAATTTTATTTAATTTAATAAATATTCTTTAAAATTAATTTTCAATCAGTTTTATATTTATTATCTTATTATTAACAAGATAACACAGAAAAAACAATTTTTAAAAAATGTATTTATTTCAATTATTTATTTTATTTCTTCATTCAATTCCAAATTGTTCTACTCCTCCATATCCATACCCCATATCTCGTAAGTTATAAATATATTCAAAATATCCACGGAAAATCGCCAAATATGGCAACGTAAAAACATCTTGTTGGCTTCTCACTTCAAGTTATATCCATATAAAAAACTTTATTTTAAATTAAAAATTGAATTTTTTGGCAAGTCCTAAGCAGAGCTGAGTTGAAACAAATATCGAACTCGAAAATCGAAATTTTATGAAAAAATTCGAAGATCGAAAAGCGAAAGACGAAAATCGAAATTTTTAAAATAAATAAAAGAATATTTAAACCAGGGATGGGCCGAGTTGAGAAAAAAGTTGGGTCGAGTTAGTTAAAATTTGAACATGAAGCCAGATTTTTTGGAGCTGTTGGGGGATATCAGATATTTAGAGAGTTAATATGTATCATCCTCTAGTCTTAATTATAAAATTTTAAAGAAAAATTAAAGAAAATTTCAAAAATAATTTTTCTTAAAGTTTTGTATGGTTGGTATAACGAAGCATTTTTGCATGGTAATATTGGCAAAAATGGAATTAAAGTGTTGGATTGGCATTATTCTGAATACCTCGGTGATATAAATTCGAGTAATGAAAAAATGACAAAAATAGCAATTGTTACCCAGACAATATTATTTAATGAATCGTCTACTTTATACGCGACAAATTTGATAAGGATAAGGTGTTTTTATCATCAATTTTGTTTCATAAATAATAATAGGGATAGGAAAAGTTTCTGGCTTTATTAGAACGGTTCTGATGAGACCGGGAAATGCATATTCTGGCCTAGCCATTACTCTTGGATTCCCTAATCCTGTCCGGGGTTTCTCAAAACTTTTATCTATATTAATCAAAATTGATTATTAACTGTTGAACTTTCTTTCTGAAAGATTGTGATAAGACAAGGACGTTGAATTATATTTTTCCAAATAAAGTTTAGCTTTGTAGGGAATTTTTTAAAATTCTCTGAAATTATTGGGCTTCTCTATTTTTTAAATATTAAAGCAAAAAATTAAAATCGAAAAAAATTATTATAAATTATGATTGTACCCCCTCCGGAAAATAATTTATTTTTCAGAAAATAATTTAAAATAAAAAAATTTTTTTAGTCACTTACTATTTTGGCTTCATTATCGTTTTGTAAGCCATTATAATCTATGTGGTATATTGCAAGTAAGACAAAAGTTGAGCGATTTTTTAGTTTCAAATGGTAATGAGAAACATGCAGAAAGAAATTTACCTGAATGTGATCCATCATCACCCCAAATAAATAAACAAATTTGTGAGAGTTATGCTCACGTTATTGACGAAATGAATTTTTTAATGTTTTTGAGGAGAATGGAAACGGAAGAATTTCAACAGATTATAAAGTAAATATTTTGATAATATCGTTTGCAAGACATTTTAATAGATGAAATGTGCTAGCTATTTATCCTTCAATTAAGATATAAAGTTAAGAAGGCGGCTTGAAGTGAACCAGATCTTGCGTCTATATGGCAAGATCTTGCGTCTATAGGCAAGACCCAGTGCCTTAGATCCTGAAACGAGTTGAGTAGAAGTCGTTATTGAAATATCCGGCTGTAGTACCGTGGAAAATATACCGTGGAAAATAGTATACCGGCGGAAATTGGACTTCCAATAAGATTTTTAAACGCCTTTATTATTATTAAAAACATGTTTAATATTCTATTATTTTAAGAAAAATATCCAAAAGTAAAGCAAATCTGAAAAAGATTAAAGAAAAACTTGATAATTTATTTGGTAGTGCTAGAACTGAAATTCTTCGTTATGCATTGCCTGAATTTAATTATGTTTTTGGTTAGTTTTAAGAATTCTTATTTTTTTTCTTTATAATTTATTCCAAAGAGTAAGCATTCGGTTGTTGATATAATTAGTTACTAAATTCCGCTCTCTATCTATGTTTGGTTAATTGTAAGGCCGGGATCATCCTGAAATCACGTGACGATAATGTCGCTCTAAGCTTTGCGCTAAGTAACGGAAGTTCCCAGATAAAAGGCAAAGAATGCCATAAACGGCCATTCCCAGAGTTATTAGCCGCCCATTATCTAAGCTAAACATCGCCACTAACTTATCCTTGGGAAAGTAATAGGGAAGTAAGCTGGTGTTTATAAGCTTTAATGGAATAGGCAAAGGCAGATCACTTTTTCATTCATTCAACAGAGTTTGCCCATCGAGTAGTTGGAATTAGTTATCCAGAGTAGAAATACAATGTAAGCTAAGTATCTCTGGAAGAAAATTATTCGTAGAAAATATACAATAATCAAGTATATTTTCATTTTTTAATTTATAAAGCTTTTGAACGATCAGAATTTTCTGAGCTTAAAGAATTTTATATGACCTATTTTGATGATAGTTTATTAATTTTGAAATGGAGGAACAAACAATATATTGAATATAGTTTGATTATTGAAGGTCTTATATTTTTATTTGTATTTTACATTAAATCTAGGTCTATTTTAAACATCGTATACCGTATATACTCTATCAATTACCCTTCCTCAAATAATTACTCCACTTCTATTAGTTACTCACTCCAATGAAAGGTTCAGGAATAATTGCCCCCATAAAACTAGTTATAATTAGCCGGTATTAAATAACCTCTAATAATTACCCCGCCTCAAATATTTAATACTCTCACCAGAGAGAGAGGTCGAAACAATGGCTCCCGGACAATCCGTCAGTGGACAATCCGGCAGTGGAAAATCCGTCAGTGGACAATCCGGCAGTGGTCGGACAATCGGTCAGTGGACAATCCGTCAGTGAACAAATTTGTAATTCCCACCAGAATCCAAAAAACCGCGGCCAAAAATTTTCATTTTTTCTTGTGAGAGGTTATAAGAGATAACGAAAATATGAAGATTAATGAGGAAATCGGCGGATTTAGCTGGATTAAAAGCATATCTGTGGATTTGGGAGTCATCGGGGACTTCAAAGATATTGTGGGATCAAGGGGAATATAAAAGATTTGTAGTATTGTGGTGGTTATCTAGGAATTTGGGAGATTAAGATGGATCTCGTGGATAAAGGAGGAGATCAAGGGATATAGGCGGGTTAAGAGGATTTGGAGGTTGTTCCATGATATCCATCTAAAAACAAACTCAATTATTTATCGAGTTCCATAATTACACGATATTTACCCAAATCCTACAATAATGCCACACGTTAATCACGTAAATCTAATCCATCCAAATCCCCGATATCCTTCTAAAGCCATCGACATTGGCGTAATTCAACCTCATTGCCCACTGAATTGCTTTTAATCCAGCTAAATCTGCCGATTTCCTACCTAATCTCCATATTTTCGATATCTCTTATAATCCCCTACACGATAAAATGAAAATTTTTGGCCACGATAGTTTGGGTAAGGGTAGGAATTACAAATTTGTTCACTGACGGATTGTCCACTGACCGATTGTCCGACCACTGACGCATTGTCCACTGACGGATTTTCCACTGCCGGATTGTCCACTGACGGATTGTCCGGTCACGGAAACAATAATAACCCAGGGTAATTAATAGAGTATAACGGTATGTAAAATTACCATGGGTAATCATTTTCAGCCTTCCTAGGAGAGAGAGATTAATTGTAAGGGGTAATTATTCGAGCATATAGGGTAACAGTTTTTAGGGGGCCAACTTTTATTTCCTTAAATTAACGGCAAATATTATGTATTTTATTGTTGTTAACTACGTAAGGATTGGCGTGTTAAAGCCTCTTGAAAATTTTTTTGGGTAAATCTTTTGACTTAACTCCTCAAAATACGTTATTTTGTTTTTTAACACTGTCAGTGTATGTTTTTCTAATTTCTATAAAGAAATAAATTTTAAGACAAAAATTTCGACGACGAAGAAAAGATGATTTGGTCAGAAATGACCAAATATTATTGGTATGGTGATACAGAAATGCAAATTCAGTATGTCGAATTAAATGATTTAACAGAGAAACAAATTGCGCAAAATATTTCGGTTATCTTTTTACTAAAAAATATTTCATTTAATCAGCCGGATCCCTTTTAAAATTCATCACCTTTCTAGGCCGATAAATTAACTTTATTTTTGACAAATTCAAAAATTCACTCCGACATCCACGATCCCCAACTACTTAAAATTTAGGCTTATTGTTAGCACTTAAATTTAATATCTGTTATTATGGAGAGCGACAATAAACTGGCTCAGGATTTGGAATAATCCAGATCCCCTCAATCCCTCAAAATCCCCTACATATATACCCGATATCCTTCCAAATCATTATTCATCCAACTACACTCTGTCCCAAAGTGTAGCCTCAGTTAAAATCACTGTTACAAATAGTAGCTGCAAGTAATGATTGCATAATTAGAATTTTTTCAAATTTTAAATATAGTCTCAAAATGTCTTTTTGCATTATGTATTAAATTTCAATTCAAATCCGTTAACAACTTAGGGACTTAAGCCACAAAATTAGGTGGATGTATATTTTTGAGACAGAGTGTATGTATATCATAAAATCGCTACGAAACTCACAGCTATCTATGCTGCTTCAATTTTTATTAGGGTAATGTGTAATAGTGTGTTATCCTAACGGTACCCAATTTTTTGCGTATCTAAAAATAAACTGTAAAAAAATTAATTTTAGCGTTATTATTTAAATATTGAGACAATTGCTGAGAAAGAATTACATCCAAAAACACCGTCATATATTTTAGCTGTAAATGAGGCTATTGAAGAAATTAAGTTAAATACTAAAATTGAGAAGAAAAATTTGAAAAATAAGCAAGAAATAATTAATAATAAAATATCAAATATTAAAAAAATTGTTTATAAAAAAATGAAAAAAGATAATTCAGTTTATAAAAATTGTGAGTCAAGAAGGAAAATGCATGCAGATAAGCTTGTCGAATTTATGATAAATAAAAATAGTGCGATTAAAGAAGATAAATTAGAGGATTCGGTTAAAAAGACTACAAGTAATTATTTTAAATTTAAAAAATTTTCATTTCTAAGTCATTCATATGGTTCGGTCTGAAACCCGACAAAAACAAACCAAAAAACTTAAGATTTTTGTTTAGGGGTTTCGATCTCCATTTTGATTAACCGAAGAATTCTGTAAATAGACACCCTATCAAGTCTTTATGAGTTCTCGAGTCAATATAATGATTGAATGAAGTATGAGTTTAGCAAAAGTTTAGCTCAGCATGTAAAATACTTTCCTCTTTCTTAGGAAATCTATTTCACCTTCCTATTTCTTTAATAGGCAACTAAAATATCTCAGAATTAATTATTCCCTCAGAATAATTAACCTAGATAAATAAATTAACACAAATAACACAACTAAAATCTTTATCTCTAAATATCACACAGAAATTTATAAGGAAATGATGTTATGTTCCTTATGTTCGTTTAACCTCCGTCTAAGCGTTTAAATGTTGTTGTTATATGAAAAAACTCTCGATCCAATTAAGTAGTTAAAATAAATTTCGAGTTAAATATGTGTATCACATTTACCCCCTTATGATTATAATTAAAAAATGAATTTAAAGATGAAGAGCTTCGTAAACTCACTGGTTATTCTAAAGAATTATTTTTTGAAGAAATTGAAAAAAGAAAAAATAATGAATTAAAAAACGAAAATGAAAATATTGAAGAAAAAATAAATGAAGCTGATGAAATTGTTGAGTTAAGGGATGAAGAAAATGATGAAATAAAAAAAGAGAATGAAAATATTGAAGAAGAAACGGTAAATAAAACAAATTTAGATGAATCTGCCGAAATTGTTGAGATAAAAGATGAAGAAAATAATAATAAATTAGAGGTGCCTCTTGAAGAAAATAAATTTAAAGACGAAAATTTATTTGGACAAGAAATGGTTGAAGAAGGAAAACTATCATTTAATAAATTGGACCATGAAATAATTGCGCTTATAAATTTGAACGGTAATAAAAATATACCTAATGAATATGGTCTTAAATAAGTAAATCATAGAGTAGATAGTAGTCCTGTCAGAACTATTTTCCGGGGCTGGAAACGAGCTTGAAAACGATTATCTGGAAACGAATATTTCTGCATTGATCCTGACCTGAAATATTTCGAGATTGCGAAAGAATACCCCGGATTAGCTGCCCGATTCCAGACTAAATCCGATCCAGCGCCGGACACACGTAAATAGGATTGCTATAATTAGAATTTATTTACTATAACTATTCATTTTAAATCCTAAATCCTTTTGCAAAACTAACATTCTCGCCTGCACATAGTGGCGTTGGACGTGATCGTGATCCCGATCGGTTCTATTGAATCGAAAATGAGTCGCGATAAAGTTATTGGATAATCCCTATCACAAGTCGGTATCGGGATCTGCATCATTATTCGAAAATTTCAAGACCGATTTTATGCTAAATATCGCACAACACATAAAGTTATCCCATGGACACATTAATCTTTAAATCCAAACATCCCTCGTTTTTAATAATTAAATATTTAAATTTTCCAGATTTATTCGAATATAGTCAACTAGAATCAACTGAATTAACAACCAAATTCAAAAATTATTTATCAGAATTATATTCAACACTAATGCAGAAAACCCAGAAGGATAAATTATTTGATCAAATGTTATTATTTATTAATATTTGTTTAATGACTAAATTAATAGAAGAAAAATTGGAAATTAAATTAATATTATTAAATAAAAATTTAATTGAAAAACAAAGGAAAAATGAAGATTTTATTAAATTTAAAAAATTAAAAATTAATTGGACAAAATTAAAAAAAATAAAATTTATTAAAAATTATAATTATGTTGATGATAAAAAAGAAATTTTTGAAGATATTTTAAATGAATTAATTAAATTTTATAATACTTTAATTATTTTTGAGGAGGAAATTATTTCAATTAAAAATTTTGGGTAGAGCATTTTTTTAACTTCGATAATATATTTCCTCTAAATTGTCCATCCTTTTCAAAATATTTTTTAAAGAGTTAGCGTGTCTTATGAGATATTATTTCAATGCTGAAGCAGAAGCCAGATTTTGAACTGCTCTGAGGCAGAGCCATGCCAGTCCCATTATTCAGCACTGAATAGAACATTTGAAACTAGATCAGCCATCCATCGTTGCTTTACGAGTATACTGACTCTCTGATCCGAATTTTTGATTCAATAAGCCTAATCACAAAGTTGATTTAATAGAATATTCTTTCTTTCAATATTAGCTTTGGTTAACCCAGTGATGAAGTTTAAGTACATAAACAAAGGTGCATTAAATACTACCCTATTTTAGTAGTAAGATACTCGTTATTAAATAAATTGAAAATTTTTTAAATAAATACCTAAATAATTTTTTAAATTTAAAGTCAGATCCATTTTCACATATTTTCTTTATTAATGTCAAAGAATACAAAAATAGATGAAAATAATGGAATTATTAATATTCCTTCCAAAAATTTTCTAAATTTTGAAAATTTTGTTAAAAATGATGGAGAAATAAAGGAATTATTTTTTGAAAGATTTTATTCGATTATTGAGGAAAATAACGAAGAAAATAAATTATTTGTTAATAGTTATAATGAAGTCTTTATTCAACTTTTAGTTGGAAATATTAAAAGCCATATAAAAATGTTTGATCAACAATTAATTGGTAGTTCGTTTATTAATTGAGAGATTTTCTGAATATTTTTGTGTATTAGTTGTATAAGTCAGCATATGTAGTAATTATAATAGACAATGGGTGTGTCAGTCTAATATAGGGTCCGATATTATGGAGCGCGAGCTCTGGAGAGACCTCTCTCGTTGACCGTGGTATTTCTTTCCTCGATGAACGGGAATATATACTACGTGGAATAGAGTGTATTCGCGGAGCTTGCATTTTTGAGTTGGAGCTTATATTTAGGAATTAAGATTATTTATAAATTTAGATGATAATTTAAATAAACACATGGAATTATCAATACAATCAGAACCATTAAAAAATAAATATAAAAATGGAAAATGGATTTTTGGAGAAGGATTTTATGAAATTAGTCAATTAATTTATTCAAATAAAAGAAAGGAATCAAAATTAGAAATTAAGTTAAAAGAATATTTGGATAATATTTACAGAATTAGTCAAAAGGAAATGAAAGAGAGAGAATTAACGGAGGTTTGGATTGAAAAACAGGTTGAAGAATGGCTTAAAAATATTTGTAAAAAATCTGGAAATAAATATGGAGGTACTTAAAAGTATTTTATACGTTTTCCCGAGAGTTTTTAATGCCTTTTCCCTTTTTTCATTTAAACATGCTTGTTCTCAATACGTGGGTGGTTCGGGCGAAAATAAAGTTCCATTTTTGCCTCATAATTTACAATAATTTAAAACTGAAGTTTTTAGGTTATTCAAAAATAATTGCTGGATCAAATCTTTATGGTATTCAAACATCTTCATCAGATCTGGATATAATTTTTATTATTCCAAAAAATTGTTTAATTCCCAAATCAATTAAATGTCAAAAATGTAAAAAGGAAATAAATTCAATTAATTCGAGAATGTGTAAAGAACATGATAAAATTTTCGGAAACAGTCACGATTCGTTATATGAAACGTTATACAAAGTATTTATTGATGATAATGAAAAGAAATTTTCAAAGGTAAAAGAGTGATAATTTATTAGTTATTATCTGTTAAGGGATTTTTGATTAACTACATAAAACTCAATAATAACCTATCCCAAAATAGAAAAAACGAGTGATGGGATTTATCCATAGAGCTCTTACTATTACTAAAACTTTTATGTATATCCCCACAACTTGTAAGCACTTATTTAAAATTTCTAGTTTACATTAGGTGTCCGATCTCTCTAGTTTACATCTATGTCTGGACAACCATTTCTTTTATTTTTGAGCCTAAATAACGCAATAATTTAATAATATAGCTAAATACAATTGCAAATACAACAGTACCTCTTTTTGATATAAACCTTAATGGAATTGATATGGACATAATGATTGCCCCAATTGCAAGAGATGAAGTTTCAGATACTTGGAATTTTAATTTAAATAATGACGAAAATTTAATTAATAAAAATTCAGAATTAATTGATAAATTAATTAATGAAATGTTAATTGATGGAAATAAATTATTTACAAAAAGTATTGTTATGTTAACAGGTGTAAAATAAATTTTTATAAAAAATTTAATTTATTAATTATTAGGTTATCGAGCAGCTTTTAGACAAATGTTTGTTTTGTTGGATAAATCCGAAAGAGAAATTTTCAAAAATTTGCTTAAAGCGATTAAGCATTGGGCAAAGCGTATGTTTTATTATATGCTGTCAAAATCATCTCCCCGATACTGATTCTGTTCAGGAGCCAGACCGATCTAGCTGGATTTTCCTGGATAGTCTAGTCTGGAAATAATCCAGAGATTGCGAAAATAAACTCGGATTAGGTCCTAAGCTTCAGAAAAATCCACCGTTTCAGGTATTTAAAGCAAAAATTGTAGTTATGCTGATCGGTCTGAAAATCGAACAAATATTGTAGTTTATGCTGCTCGGTCTGAAAATACTGGCTTTTGATAACTAGTACGCAATTGACTAACCCCGACGGATTAGTCACTATTGTATTCCGAAGTTTGAATATTAAGTAGCAGAAATAATTAGTTTTTAGCAATAAAAATGTTTTTCTTAATTTATAAGTGTTTTACGAAAGCCCGACGGCTTTTCGATGACACGATGTATGTTAAAGAGAATTGTGTTAGTCCTGATCCCAACGTATACTCTAGGGGTTTTATCCGGTTGATACTCCCCTATTACATACCTTACTATTTATGTCGAAATATACTTAAACGATTTATTTAATAGATAAATATAATAAAAAAATTTATTATTAAAAAAAATTAATTAAAATTGAACAATAATGAACATAAAATCGGTTAAAAAATTTTCTTATATATGTAATAGCGGCATGGGGTGTGGGCAGTCATATTCTTCCTTCTGTCCAATAGTCTGGGAAAAGTAACTTGGCTTTGTTGGCGATCGTTATGTTCCTAGCTTGCAAAACTATTTTTCTTACTGTTCCAAGGTTATTATGATTTTTGGCATTCTTTGGCAGTCGTTAAATAAATCAAAAATATTTTTTTACCTAATTTATGAAATTTTAAAGAGAAACAAATATATTCAAACATGTTTGGATATTTGAGTGGAACTATTTTATCAATAATGGCAAACAAAATATGTTTATTATATCCTTCTGGATCCCTCTCATTTTTATTTCACAAATTCTTTATTATTTTCTCAAAATGGTTAGAGAACTTTATTTTAAAATTAAATTATTTTAATTTTAAGGGATTGGCCCAAACCTTTATTATTAGAACCTTTAAGCACAAAAGACGATTTAGAAAAATTGGGAAGAATAAAATTACAATTTAATTCGTGGCAAATTAAAGATATTGAAAGCGAAGGAAATTTAATTCCTGTTATTTCAACAAAATATCCAGAATTAAATTCGGCTAGAAATATTAATGAAGTAGGAAAGAAAATTATAATTGATGAAATGAATAAAAGTATAATTATATTTTTATAAAATTTGTCACTAGTCTAATTCAGCTGTTGTTTTAAATTTAAAAAACTTGAAGTTTTATGAAGAATAACTGATTTAAAAAAATTCTCTAAAAATAACTAAAAACTGAAACTGAAATTTTAAAATTTGGATTAAACACTAATCGAGGGCACTGTAATAACCGTTCTACAATTCTTTTATTATTCTTGAAAAAGACTCACAGTACTGTCTCTACTCTGTATATCTAGCTAAGATCAGGGCTGTGCGCCAAAATTTTCGCGTGGCGCGCCAAACGCCAAACGCCAATTTTTTAAATTTTAAAAACACGCCAAACGCCAAACGCCTTTTTTTGCCGCCGGAGCGAAATTTTTGAGAATTTTGGAGGCAAAGATGCCGAAATTCATCCTTTAAAAAATTTAAAAAAATAAAAAATTCATAGAACTCCTTGAGATTAAGGTGGATATGAAGGGATAAAGGGAGTAATGAGTATAACATAGGTCATGAAGAGAGTAAACGATTGACGGGACTAAAGTTTTTTTCAACCATCTATTAGTTTAAAATCCTCCTTTAAGCGCCGCAGGCGAAAATTTTGAAAATTTTGGAAGTCCAAGCAGTAGATTTATTCATTTTTTATGCGCCGCAGGCGAAAATTTTGAGAATTTTGGATGACTGTATGCAGAAAAATTTCCTTTTTTGATAATCCCTTTCTCCATTTATTTAAAAAAATTCCATCATTAGGGGTGTATATTTTTGGCGTTTGGCGCGCCAAAATCGGAAAATCACGCCAAACGCAAAACGCCAAAAATCGGCCAAAATTAACGCCAAAACGCAAAACGCCAAACGCCAAACGCCATGACGCACAGCCCTGGCTCAGATATATGTATACAGACATGTATCTCAGTTTAGCTTCATAACTATATCAGCCCATTTTCAGCTAATATTATGAGGAAAATATATAAATTTTTAAAAATTACTAGTAAGGTTGATTCAAAGAAAATATTTAAAAAATCAAGAAAAAATATGAAATTGGTCCTATACGGAACTAGAAAATTTCTTAAAATATTTTTTAAATTTATTTATAGCTCTTCAACAATTTAAATATTTAAATAGTAAAAATTTTAACAAGATGGATAATTTTTGGAAGGAAAATATTTTTGCTGAATTAAATTACAAAAAATATTTCAAATATTTTTTAATAATTACTTGTTCTTTAAATTCTGAAGAGGAAAATGGAGATTCGCTTTTTGGATTTATAAAATCAAAAATTAGAAAAGCAATGGAAATTTGGTCAAAAGAAAAAGAATTTACAGTTCATTTGGAAAATAAAACCGTAGAAACAAATTTGAAAGAAAATCTTTTGGAGTATAGAATTTTAAGTGGATTTGAAGAAAAAGGGAGATGTAGAGTTGATGAGGAGTAAGTCTAATTGGGTAGACCCCGATGTACTGCGAGCCCAATGTACCGCCGAGCTATAAATTTCTGCCGAATCCGTGGCGCCATGGTATGGTTCGATTCAGAGCGCCACGGATTCGATAATTTTGATTATAGCTCTGCGGTACATTTTGCTCGCGGTACACTGGCCTGCTCCCGTTTAATTTTATTAGAGACCTTGGAAATTAAAAGCCAACAGGAATGGCTGTGGGATGGGATTGTACGGATTGCGGGTTAAAGGGGTACTGGATTGGGGAGGGGTTATGGGATTGGCCTCAAAATTTCGAATCTGAACGAACTCCTGTAGGATTAGATTCCAGAATGAAGCAAACCGAAAATTCCAAAAAAATCGGGATTAAGAAACATTACTCGTACTTTTCAAATCTAAACTAACCTAAAATATTTTAAGACCAAGGTTTTCGGTTTGCTTCATTCTGGAATCTTCACCTTTCTCTAGAAAATTTTTTTTGAATTTATTTTTAGTGAAAACCCAAGACAATGTTCTCTATGGGTAGTTGGAATTAATTTTAGCAACAAAATTGATAATTGGGAAGTTGCTAAGAGGCTTATAAATATTGTTTATGTTCAATTTCAATGGTATACAAAAAATAATGTAAAAATTCAAACAATACCGGTTCAATCAAAAAATCTACAAGAAAAGTAATTTTAGATATATTTAAAAAATCGAACTTAATTACGAGATATCAGTTGAAAAATCGTATTAATTATGTGGTCAAGTTAAATAAAGGTAAAGGGGATTATATAGGTAAGGGTAATATCTTTATAACTAACTCCCTTACCTATCCTGCCCTCACGATTCATAAAATCGGGAATTGCCGATTACCGAATATCTGCAATTTATTTTTATCTGAGTAGGATACGTGTCACACAGCAGAATCGTCTAGAGAGTGTCGTTATAACGAAATTCCATTCAATGTAATTCTGAGGGATCCTATTGTCAAGAAAATTTGAAGATTTTATAGATAAATTAATTTATTTATTATAGAATTAATTCTATATTTGAAGCAAAAAATGAAATAATCAAAAAACCACTTTTTGTTTTGCCAGAAAATAAGGATAAAAAAATAAATTTAAATAATTCCGATCTAAATTCAATTCCAAAAAGTTTAAAAGTTGAAGAAGAAAAAGATTTTGTTTATTTTAAATTTCATCCATTTGAGGTTTATAAAAGAACTTTTTAAATGAAGGGGTTTCATCGTTTTCTGGGACATTGGATGTCCGAAATTTAGTAGTCTAAGAATACACAGAAGTGAATATCAAGTAGAGAAATTGATATAAGTAGTTGGCATGATAACCCTATTAACTGACCCTTAACACTTTTACTCCAACAATGAGAATCGAGACAGTTATCTCAATATGGATCTCGATAACCTGGATTTTTGTTCGATATCTCGCCTCGGTCCGATCTCTATACATATGACACGTTAAAGTTTCTTGTTTAATAAAGCTAATAACACCTTACTAGCAAAATTATTGTTAGATAATTATACCAAGTTTTGGTCAGTTGAATAATTTTGGGACAAAAAACGATGGGCCTATCTTTAAAAATAAATTTAATTAAAAATTATTTTTTAAACTAAACAGGCAAAAAATGATGAAAAATGTACAAATTTAGAGGAAATTTCCATTACGGGCAAAAATATAGAGAAAAGCGAAGCTAAATTAAGAAAACAAAATAAAGGAGTAGTAATATCTCCTTAATTGAAAAATTAGCCTCAGAACGAGGCACAAAATTTTTTATTATGTAAAGCATTTATCTTTGTATTTTATTTAAAAATATTTTGTAAGTTTTAAATCTGTTAATTTAACATTTGTATTGTGTTCTATACCCAAAATGTTCACTGTTTTAATTTAATTTTAATTAAATTTTACTTGACCATTTAGTTAAAAAATATTTATTTAAGCTATTTTTTTGATGACATTCGTTTTATTGTGTATAATTTTATTGCATTTATTTATATATTTTTTTCTGTGGAGTTCATTTTTTAACTATATATTTTTTTAACTGTATCACCAATTTATTTTTAATTTTTTTTTGTATAATTTAACTATCTCCATAAGTGATCCTTGTGGATCCAGGAGTATTTATTTTATTGTTTCACATTTTATTTGTGTCGATAAAGAAAAAAAATTAACCCTATTAATGAAATTTTAAATCAAAAAAGTTTTTGACAATGGGTGTTTTCTTTAAAAATTCCACAAAAATAAATCAAATGATTAACTAGAACATAAAAACAAAAATTTTGATTAACTGAAACCATTTTGTCGGTTAATAACCTGTCCATAACAGCCCTAGTTTAGACGATTCGAAAAAACAGAGCCGTTCAAATTTTTCCTCTCGCCATTTTTTGGAAAGGAAAAGTCCAGGTTTCAGATAAAGTCCATCTTAACTTTTAATACAAAGAATTCCCGTACTGGCAGCTTGATGAATCAAAAGATTATGTACATAATAACGGCATTGTCTTTGTTGGTGTGTTCAATAACATTTAAATCTTTAAAAAATGTTGAGGACATAATAGGTTAATGTTGTTAATATTTTAAACATTTCAATATTTGCTGATCTAAATACTATTTCTTGGGGAGGCGCATGAGGAGGTGGTTGTCTAATTTTCTTTTCAGACGAGAAGAGTGGCGAGCCGCTTGAACAATAATATTGCTCATTATTTTAAAAATAACCTCCGTGCGGGCAGAGGAGAAAAGTTTCATTTTAATTGGCCGAGTCCGTTTCTTTTAAAATTTAAAAAGATAATTTATTATAAGTTACTTACTCACCACTCAACCAGGCCTTTCATTAGGCTAGCGGTATTTCCATTAGATAAAGCTCGTGGTGTGGGTAACTACTAGCCACAACATTAAATTAAATATAAATTTTAATAGATCAAAAACTCAAAAATTCAAACTTTCAGTTTAATTAAAACAGTCATAGCGCCAGTTTTATTCGACTTGCCAGCTTTTCTAAAATAAAATTCAATAAATTTAAATCAATGAAAAATTGATTTACATCTTTGTTAAAGATGTATAATTTATAAAATAAATTTTCTCTCCTCCCATAAAGTAAAATTCTCTCTCTCCCCCCCCCCCCATAAAGTAAAATTCTCTCCACCTCCCCTCCCAGAAAATAAAATTCTCTCCCTCTCCCCCCCCCCTCCCCCCATAAAATAAAATTCTCTCCTCCTCCCAAAAAATAAAATTCTCTCCCCCTCCGTTAAAATAAAATTCTCTTCACCTACCAAAAATAAATTCTCTCCTCCTCCCATAAAATAGAATTTTCAATCCTCATAAAATAAAATTCTCAATAAAATAGTAACTCCCCTCCTCTTCCCAAATTACTTCATTAACTTTGAAATTACCTTAGTGGAAAACTTTGAAATTACTCACTAAAAGTAGTGTTAACATTCGTGGGTGTCACATAAATAAGTGAGGTCCGATCGTATAAACCTGTCGCGTTCACAAAACGCGATTTCAAAAAAAAATAAAATTAAATACATTTAAATATAATTACTCATTATTATAAAACTTTCCCAGACACTCTTTATCTAATTTAACAATCTAAAATTTTCTCCTAGCCATATTTAAATGACTTTCAATTTTCTGCTAATTCGTGCTTCTTCTCACTTCATTTTTAGTTTTCCTTCCATCACTCCTAAGTTTTTTCACACATTCATTCCTTCGCTTTTAATGCTTCTACACATTCTTCACTTATTATATTATATTTTTAATTGAAAGAAAATAAATAATTTTATTTGTGTGGAAATTTAAATTAAGAGTTTTAATAATTAGCGCTTTTGAGCCGAACGCTAAGTTTGTAATTATTTGAAAAATAATTTTTATTTGTTAAAAATTAAAAATAATTAAAAATTTAAAAATTAAAAATAATTTTTAACTAAATTATTTGAAAAATAATTTTAATAATGAATGTTTACAAACTGGCCAGATCAAATTTAAAATTAAAAATTTAATTTTAAATTAAGAATATAATTTACCGGAAATTCAAAGTTTTTCAGAAAAACATTTAAAACAAGTCATGTTGTCAGCTTTCCGCTGATAAAAATTAATAAATGGCAACATTGTAAAATTGATTGACATCTTTGTTTAAAAATTCTCTACCCCCCCCCCCTCCTCCCCTCCATTCTCTACCCCCTTTTTCTTCTTCTCCCACGTTTTCTCGTCCTCCCTATCACTTGCTCATCTCACCCTCCCATGTCTTCCTCATCTCGCTCTCCCATCCCTTCATTTATTTAATTTTTTATTGAATTTTTTCTACATTTTTTTTAAGTTAGAAATTTTTAATATAAAAATGTCAATTAATTGTTTGTTAACTCAAATGTTTGTAAACTCGGTTGAAATTTATTTTGTAAACTTTTTTTCGATAAAGGGTATTTCAAGAATAAGCGTATTACTTTATAAAATTTACTTTTTATTGGAAAATGTTTATTCAAACAAATATTTATTATTTAAAGAAATATTAATTTAAAAAAATTTATTTTTGTCTTAAATTGCCAAAATAATAAATAAAAATCTAATTTTTTTTCTTATTGTTAGGGATAATTTGAATATATTGAGGTCTCGGAATCGAAAAATTAAAAAAATTAACTCAAAAGAATATACCTCGGAGATCCGAAGGCTGAAATTGGAATTTTTATGAAAAATCTAAATTTCAAAAATTATTTTATTAAAACATGATAACAAAAAACAATTTTTAATCAAATGTTTTTATTTCAAATATTTATTTTATTTCTTTATTTAATTCCTAATTATTCTACTCCTCCATATTTTTACCCAATATCACGTAAGTTAAGAAATCTTCTCAAAAATTCGAATAAGATTTTTAAAGTTTTTCATGGTTGGTATAACGAAGCATTTTTATATGGAAACATTGACAAATATGGAGATAAAGTGTTGGATTGGCATTATTCTGAATACCTCGGTGATATAAATTCAACTAATGAAAAAATGATGAAAATATCAGTTGTTACCCAGACAATATTACTCAATGAATCGGCTAAGTTACACTCGAGAAAATCGACAAAGCAAAGGTGTTTATATTATTAGATAATATTTTTCTGCCTATATTTTTGGGCAGCAATGTATAGATTGAATAGAAACTTTTTTATCGTGATGAGATCAGAACACATTCGTATCTAATGTTAGGGGATCTAGATTTCTGGATCCAAAAAGTTTGGATATCCGAAAATTTTATTTTCCCCGAATCTCTTGGAAATTTTAAGATTCATGAAAATCCTCCATCCAAAAATTCTTTCTTCAGAAAGCTTTTACAGTCACAAAGAAAAGTTTGAACGCACAAATTTTCCAACTATGTTAGAAAAATTTTTTAGGTCAGCACAGCTCACAAAGTTTTATCGTAAGGAAAACAATTATAATTTATGTATTCTTTTGATGGTAAGACAAAAGTTGAGCGATTCATTAGTTCCACATGGTGTTAAGTTATTTGAAGAAAGAAATTTGCCAGGATGTGATCCAAAATCACCCCAATTAAATCGTCAAATGTGTGAGCGTTATGCTCACATTATCGATGAAATGAATTTTTTAATGTTTTTGCGAAGAATGAAAACTGGAGAATTTCAACAGATTATAAAGTAAATATTTTGATAAAATAATAAAGATGAAATGGGCCCACGTAAAAAAGAAAAAATTTTCCCCGTCACCGTCTTCCCGTGTCGATGCCTTCCCGAAAATCGTGGCGATGCCTTCCCGGTTCGGAAATAGGATCAGGATATCCGAAGATGTGGAAATTTTTTTTCCGCATGTGGAAATTCCTGATCCGTAGTTTTTTCGTGTCATAGAATTCCCAAAATATTTTCAAATCCTTTTTATGTAGTATATATTTATCAATATTTTAAGAAAAATTTCCAAAAGCAATGCAAAACTAGGAAAAATTAAAGAAAAATTTTATAATTTGTTTGGTATTGCTACAGCTGAAATTCTTCGTTATGTATTTCCTGAATTTAATTATGTTTTTGGTTAGTTTTAAGAATTTATTTTTTTCGTTATAATTTATTCCAAAGAGTAGGCACTCGTCGATTAAACTGATTTCTAAATTACGCTCTCAATGTTTGGTTAATCGAGCTCGAAATACCCTATTGAATATTCTAAGAAAAAATTTTTTAATCCGTTATAGGGAATTATTTTTGGAAATCTACTATAATGCATATGTATTATCGTTTAAAAAATTATTCTTAGAAAATATCCAATAAAGTCAAGTATTATCATTTTTTAATTTATAAAGCTTTTGATCAATCTGAATTTTCTGAAATTAATGAATTTTATACAAACTATTTTAATGATAGTTTATTAATTTCAAAATGGAGGAGCAAACAATATATTGAATATAGTTTGATCATTAAAGGTCTTATATTTTTATTTATATTCAATTTATGCTTAAATAAAAATCGCATGTGTTTTGCGACAGAAAAGCGCAAGTGATTTTTATCCATTCTTTTGAGTGTTATTTTCTGTCGCAAGCCGCAAAACAACATTATTTATTTTGAGATCTTATTTATTTTTTGAGTTTTTATTTATTTTTTAAATAAATAAATTTTAGACAAAAATTTTAACGACGAAGAAAAAATTATTTGGTCAGAAATGACCAAGTATTATTGGTATGGTGATACAGAAATGCAAATACAGTATGTCAAATCAAAGGAATTGACAGATAAA